GCTACTGACACATGCCATGCGTCTTAAATACTGTTTTCGGCATTCTAATTTCTTTTTCTAATCATGAGTCCGTGATGACAAATTAAAACAATATTTTGTCTGCAATTCATATTTTACTGAAATTTAAAATGGCAAGAAAAGGATAAGTATTCAATTTATTTTCTCTTCTCAATTAATACAGCAATTAAGATAAGGGGTATAAAACTGCCTTAATTGGGTTGCCATGGCAACTAATTGCCTGATTTCTTAAAAAATAGTATGTTTTAGGTGGAATCAATCTGTGGTAATTTAATTATGTGCATCCTGAAGAAGGAAGACAGGTTGGATACAGGTAAGGAAAAGTTCTAATTGTCAATTGTTACACATCTTACTGTTACTCCAAGTTTTTCTAGGCGTTGTCCGTTCCTGTTCATCACACATACAGAATGGTCGCTTTTCTTTTTAATAATTAGGGGGACCAAGACTCGCACAATAAATGAGATTCCAAATTGCTTGGGTGTAGGTCAGCTGGCCCTTGGAAACAAGGAGAAAATAGGAAAGCTAGACCCTGACTCCCTCCTCTCTCGTTTTGCTTGGCCTGTGCCCCAGAGACACTGAAACAGCATCCCTGATGCATGCGTGTGCACCTGGCCACAGTCAGAGAGGCAGTAGCCAACTTGGTTATTGTAAAAACTGGAATTTTTACATGTAAAAACAGGTTTTAGCACGACTGACCTTATGAGAAAAGCATACAGGTATTCTGCTTTACGGTAGTCACCCCAGACACTCCAGTGCATAACAGAATCTGTAGGATGGTGCTACCACACCGTCACAAAGCAAATTTGGAAGGTCTGTCCCAAGCAGATTTCTCACACTGAAATGATTTCTTGTCTGTATTTAACATGTGTGTGTCTTACAGATTTGCTCCCAGTAATTGCACGGTACGGTTGTGATACCGCATTTTGAGTGATTACAGTGCTAAATTCGGGAAATAAAATGATCACCATTATTGGCACTTCTGTTAATTGAATGAATCGAAGTTTGCATAAACCTGACTTTGCCCCATGATGAGCTCATTCTCAGTTTAAACACAGTTCATGACACTTTAATGTGTTAACTCTGCTTCATGGTATTTCCTACCAGTGTTTAATTTCTTCTTTAATAGACCAGAGACTCTATGTCCACACAAGTCTTTAATAAGAACTTTTCAAATTCTAAAGACACTACCTTGACCTTTACCGAAATCAAAAGCACAGAGAAAATTAGGATATTCATTCCAAAAAGTCTTTTTAAAGTGAAATTTGCCCCAATAAAAAGTCAAACTTTATTATCTATGAAATTAATACTGTGCCCATCAAATCTGCTCTTACACATTGTTTCAATTATGTTTGGGAAGTTACAGGAGCTGTTTAGATCAGAAATAACATAATTCATACTTAACTACCTTTCTCTGCAGTTAATTTGATAACGCTGAAAACTAACATCAGAAAGTTCAAAAGAACATCATAAATAATGGAGTTATTTCCTGCAGTGGAATGACTCCATTTTCTATGGCCCATTCATGGCTGCTGTCCTACTGGTAAGAGCAGTTCTGTGATTTACTGAGCAAAGATAAAGATGTGATGGGTTTATATAAAGAACTACCAAGCATGAAGCTCCTGGTTTTACTTCTGACAGAACTCTTCAACATTTTACAAATAAGAAAAATGCCCCAGCACTTGTCTCCTGCACTGAAGTGTCGTAACAGGAAGCCAGTGCCTGCAGAATCCAGTGCCAGATCCTCTGCTGACACCAGGGAAAAGGTATGGAAAAGTTAGTAGAGAGTTTCGTTTTCAGCTGTCTCCACTCTCTGCCCCAGAGAGCGCCCAAATGTAAGGTCTGTTTAAAAAGGTCGCGGAACATGGAAAGCTACTGATGTGGCTTGGAGCAACCTGGTCTGGTGGAAGGTGTCCCTGCCCATGGCAGGGGGGTTGGAACTAGGTGATCTTTAAGGTCCCTTACAACCCAAACCATTCTGTGATTCTATGATGGGGCAACAGTATCTTTTCTGTGATTATATAAACTCTAGGTGCCATGAATGCTAATAAAAAATATGTTTCTTTACTGTTTTAGTGTATGTCTAAGGTTCTTTAGGAAGGCCAAGGTTTTATCTTAGAACCTCACCTTATTATAAATACTGCTAAAAATCAGTGCACAACCCACGGACACCCATGCACCGCATCATGCTGGCAATCCCCTGTGCTGACCGTTGCCAGTGTTACCAGCGCTGAAACTGTCAGAAACCAAATGGGGGAAGGTGGGTTGGGCGCTGCTGGTGTGGCTGCACGGACACGCAGACCCCTAACTGAGCTGGCCTGTGCAGGGAGCCTTGCGAGCACCGGTGTGGTGCGGGGCCTGGACTGAGCAGCTCTGCGTTACACGGGGAGCTGCGCTGGGTACCCGTTTGCACTCTATTTGGGACCACTGCTATTACCTGAGCTCCGCTACACCCGCCAGCTCCGAACAGTCTGTGGCAGCTCTGATTTCCTCAGTGCGTGTGCCAGCACATCTCACAAGTGACAGAGAGGAGACAACAGGCCAAAGGAAATAACCAACACTGAACGCTGCTGAAATAATAACTCTGATTAAGTATGTGTTATTTTTTCCTCTCCTCTCTTTTTGCCCCGTGTCTGTTGCTCTATTAGAAATGCCCCTGAATTCTCAGTTTCCCACCCTACCTCATCTGACAATTCTTAATCCTGCCTTTGGCTGCCCTTTCCCATAACATCCTAGCCATAGTCACTGGTACCAGGTAGGCTACACTTACAGACCTGAAGAAGGAGAGTTGCAGTCCATGGACAACACCCTTTAAAGAGAGTGCACACAGTTATGTTTGATCAGGTTTTTTTCCTATATAATTTAAAATAATCTTCTTTTAAAATCCTGAAAGAATTCTGTATTCATTTCATATTATTCAACCACAATGTGGCTTGCTGTCTCATGTAATATCCTTTTTCAAGATGAACATTATCTATGAGGCTAGAAAAAAGAAGTGGGTTTCACAGCTTTGCTAGTTAGCACTATCAGTGGCTTGGAAACAAGTTGGCTCCTTGGCCTTATTGGCTGCTTCAGCCACAGAGTCTACGCGGAGGGTCGCGACGGGCAGCACCTACGCACAAAGACAGCATCGTTCCCTCTGCCGGTGGAAGCAACCGCAAGCGGGCAGCGTGTGACGGCCCAAAGCAGAGCTCTCCTGGCCAGCTGTGACCAGAGGCAAGCGTCTGTGTACGGCTGAGACTGGGGCTCCAGAGGAGCTCCTGCTCCTCTCCGCTCCACAAATTCCACTCTAATGTAGTTACACAGGCTGGCAGAGCATTTTTCCAGCTTCCAACCTGCCTCTCAGTTGACTGTGTTTCACAGGCTGTTGGTAATCAATCTGGGGTGAGACAGACCCTGGGGTTAATACCAGCTATTTAAACTCTGCTGTTTATTGCCATGTCCACACGTGGCTGAGCTACATACAGTGCGTTAGTACAGCACTCCTGAATGCCCATTATTAGCACCTTCGCATGACAGGACTAAATGCACACGTGTGGCTTCTAATCACTTCAGTCCGAGAAGTCAGTGACATGGGAACAGGTTGGCTCTTGCTCTGACAGTACCGCGGAATCACAAATAAACACGGCAACAGCCGCCCGAATTAAACACTGACTCAGGACCTCAGCTGAGCAGGATTCTCCTCTCTGACCCACGTTAAATACCCTTCTTGCTCTGCTGTTCCATACAGAGACACCTTTCCCTTCTCTCATTTTCCCAGCATGGAAAAAGTACTGGGAATGAAGAGGGGTCACGTGGCAGTGACGTTCTTGGCTTAAAACAGGTACGCAATGCTGTTACTGCCCCAAGTGCAACACTAAAGTACACCCAAAAATTCCCTTTCCTTCAGACTGCTTTCCAAAGTTGGAAATACTCAGCTTCTTGCCCCATCTTGGAGGATATTTGCCTCCACCTTTAAAATGCCTGAAACTTTGTGCTTCTGATAACCCCTCAATAATACTATCCAGAAATTTTACTTTCACTGTAAGATTACATTTCCCAAAGTGCCAGATTTTAAGTTGCATTTTAAAAGTCTTTATCCAATAGCAAGTAAAAGACAGGAACAAGTTTAGTGCTACATTTTTCCATGGAAATTTCCTAAGAAAAATGTGTATGTGAATATATAAGTAAATCATCATCTCAGCAGAATGGTTTTTTCTTTTATACTTAAGGCGATATTTTCTTTTTCCTGTCAGGCTCTGCAAATGTTCCCTGAGTCATGTGGTTACAAAAATGTAGAATTACTCTCCTAAAAGGAACATTTTACAATTCATCACCAGGACTAAACCAGCTGCAGCTGTGAAAAAGCGTTAGCATATTAGCTGTCCTATTACAGACAAATCTTTTATTTATTTTGCGCCTTTAGCTCTGGAGATTTGGAACATTCAGGATTTTCTCTTTCTTTCTCTGCTCCGAAGTCACTCACTAAATTTTCACTAGATAGTTTAATTTTGATTATATTTGGCAGAAGGAACTTTAATCCGCACAATATGTATAAATATTGCATTTTAACAAGGGGTTTTACTTATGTTTTTATTGTCACTGTCATTGTATTGAATAGAATTCCGCATGTCAGGGATGAGTTGTTACTGGTATTTAGGTGCCTCAGGCTTACTAACGGCTCAACTATTATGAAGAAATTAACTGATAAAGATGATTTATTACTCTCCAAGACTGTTCACACACTATCTGCATCTAGCATTAGGATCTCAGCGTAGGAATAGATGTGGGAGACGTAACCTTAAGTCAGAGCTGTTCTAAGTTTAAAGTTTTAAGTTAATTTCTCTATTTTCTGTCTGTCCCAATGATCTCTCATACCTTCAGGTAGCCACCGAGCAAAGTGCTGAAGCATATCTGACCTTCACTGTGCACCTTTCTGAACAGAAAGTTTCAAGCAGAGAAAAAGCCATATATTTTAACGAGTATGATCCGTGACAGTTACTCACCACTGTCGATTGCCAGGAAGAGCGCGGTGTATACGTTATTCTGAACGTAAGGAGATTCCCGATCCAGGACAGCAGTGGTGCCAATGGTACCATTGGTAGGGTTAATTTCTAGCCAGCCTGCTGGATCCTTGTAAACCGAAAACCTAAATAAAAACATAGATGTTGTTAACAAATTATATATCTAGGCCTAAACCAATGACATTACTACAGAATGATGTCTTTGACTCGTTGGCTTTCATGGGGTGGATCTCTGAATACTTAAAAAATGCAATTTAAACCTTGTGCCTTCCCTGTGAGATAGTTCACTGTTAGGCCGACCTGACAGATGGAGAGACAGAGAGAGGTTTCAGTCAGTGTCTTTGGATGCGCACGTCCCAGCGCTTGGTACGGAACTCAGCATTTCAAAAGGTGCGTAGGCCTACCTGCGCTCTTTCCTACGGCTGTACTCCACAGCCAGAGTACCTGAACTCTTTCAGTGGCCCTCCGCATCAACGCTGGTATTTACAGACCTCATGAATCCTACCACAGTCGTCCTTTTTCCAGACTCAAAATTCTGCTTGGACTAGGAGTTACGTCTTTTTACTTCTTTTCTACCTATTTTTCATCTTTTTCTTACAATTAGTTATTTTGGGTGGGGCTGGAAGTGTACCAGCTGGGGGGTATGGTAGCAAAAAGGCAGTTGCACTATGGATTCATCAGGCCCAGTAGGAGCTGCTTATATGCAGACCCGGTGTGCACACATTTGTTCTGCAGTCTGTGATCCATACAAATAGATGCTCAGAATCTTGGAACACTTCAACCACATACATATTGTCAAAGTAAGGATTCAAAAATGCTGTCTGCCAAGACACAAAATTCGCTATTGTGCTTTCTTTGCATTCATCGGCACAAATATTTAGACCTTGATACTGGAAACATTTAGAGAGATTGTGGAGTTTATGCACTAAGAACTGCCCTACTTGGCTGAGTAATAAACATATGAATGTTCATGATTAGGGTCTAATTCTATACGCAGTTAAATACATTAAGTAATATCACAACACAGAGCTTGGTACCAATTCCCTCTCCAATCAAATGTGTTAATATTTTAAACCAAAACTCAAATCATATAATCAATACTTAGGATAATAACCTCTTTATCCTTTTTGTAGTCAATTGTTATAGGTCATAAAGAGCCATACAATCTTCTACAGACATTTTAAATTATAAGAAATTGCCATGAAACCTGTTATCATTTAACAAGCACGTGCCTAGCCAGTGCCTCACAGTGGCTTTCATCCGAAAGGCGTCCTATGTGCTAATGCTGCCAAAAATAATCTATCAGTGCAACTATTTCCTGAAAGAATAATATAAAAAAACAGATTGTTGTGGGGGGAGGGAGAAATAAGTAAAATGAAATAAAACATCAGTTGCTAGAGGAGGAGAGAATAAATTGCAGGACAACAAAGAGAGATGTGGTCCCACAGACTGCTTGTTGCAGGGGCGTTTTGGTCTCTTGTCCCCTCTGGAAGGTGAACCCATGAGTGGTGCTTAGTCACGAGATCCCTCTAGCAGAGTGTGAAGGGATGTCCATCACAGCCAACAATGGGGCAGCGTGTGGCCGGTCCTGTGCAGCTGCCTCTGACCCCCCCGGCCTCCTTGCTTTGTCACTGTCCAGTTGTTTGGATCAGGCAGAGTCTGGGAACGGTAGATTTTTGCAGGCATCTGGCAAAGCGAGGCAGAGCCACAGCTCCGAGCTGTCAGACGTCCGAGATGGCCATCAGCATCGTTCAGCATTCACACAGCACATCCTGCTGTGTTTGGGCAGTAGGTCTCATCCCTGGCCCAAGGCAAAAGATGAACAGCAGCCCATGACTTAGTGCATGGCTCCAGCTTAACGCCTGTCATTACGACGTCCCTGTGAAAGACTATTGAGTGAACTGAGGAGGGGATCTCTTCTGCCCCTCATCCCGGGAACCTCCCCTCCGCAGGGCTCCGGGATCCCTGTGAATGTGCCATGTGGCCCACAGGGACATTTAAATCAACTGTTCTATAGATCGACGTTATACTTCCAAGATCCACAAAATACTTGTTTGAAAAGAAAGCAAAAAACAAACCTGAGTTTTCTCTTTGAAAAACAAAACTGTTTTTAGCAGAAAACCTTCTCTTAATTCACCAGAGAAATACCTCTCACCAAAAAATCATCAGTAGCCTCAAAATACCTTTGGTGTACCTGCGGGAGAGGCGTATTAGCCCACGGGAGACGAACCTGGCTAATTACAGAGGCAGTAACAGGCAGCGCTGTCCATGACTGCTATTCTTTACCAAGGCTTTGCTTCAGGCTCGATGCTGAACCAGACTGGTGCTCCCCTGGTACACAGGGACAAACTGGTGTTCAGGCAGCCGGTTTCAGGATCAAAACTTCAATGTACACAGCCATGCAAAAGGACACATTTTTATGAGCTATTATTATGTTAAAATAAAGGACAAATTTGGAAACCAGAACGTTTGGAATTTATGCAAGGAATTGACGAATACTGAAAACACTTGGGAACCAGACTGGTGCTCCCCTGGTACACAGGGACAAACTGGTGTTCAGGCAGCCGGTTTCAGGATCAAAACTTCAATGTACACAGCCATGCAAAAGGACACATTTTTATGAGCTATTATTATGTTAAAATAAAGGACAAATTTGGAAACCAGAACGTTTGGAATTTATGCAAGGAATTGACGAATACTGAAAACACTTGGCTTATTCATGCTCCAACAAAAGTCACTCACAGTTGCTCCACTGGCTTCCCCAGGAGCAGGAATTATCCCTTAGGGAGTACGTGGAAAAGAATCAAAGGCAAGCGCTAGTGCACAGTGAGATATTCCATCAACCCAACGTGTCCTGCCATTTAATAACCGTTTAAACATTAATCAATAGCTGAGCTTTATCTCCCGTAAAAATGAGCTACTAGAACAGCAACAATGCTGATCATTATTTCATTTCCCTTCTTTGTTTCTTTTTTTATCGTTGTTTTTATAACTTTGCAACAAAGGTATGCGCAAAAATATGAAACAAGGGCAGCCTAAACAACTCCTGGTCTATTGTAAAACTGCAAATTCTCAATTAACCCTGAAACAATTTAAGAAGATTCAACACTTCTAAAGTAATGAGAATTCAAAATGGATTGTATTATCTTCCCTGATTGCTCTACAAAGCACTGTTGGCTGTGCAAATAAAAAACTGAATTGTATAACCTGTGATTTGGCACAGGATATTGTAAAAGTAGTACTTTGTCTTTCCCACCGCATTTTTTACTTATTGCAGGAGTATACTGCAGTACAGCTGATTGTTCTTCGCTCATTTTTTTGAGGGCTCTGCTAGCAAAAGATTTAGAATAGACTCATTAAGGAAAGCACTATAAAAAAATGAAAGTGTAGAACACAAAGTTGCTCTTCCTACTTTTGACTTTAGTGGGATCCATGATTGCACAGCAGTTTTGAAAATCAGGCCAGATTTTTAGGTGGTTAAACATGAACTTGTGTGCCCGTGCGTACCTACTCAGTTTTGAAAACCACGAGTGTGTTGACACGCCTGTGTAGATGGGTACGGAGCCGTGTTCTCTGCTGTGCCAGTTACTGCTTACTGTGGGCTTACAAGACACCGCAGCACTCAAATTTAGTGCTGCTTTCTGGACTTCATTTCATTGTTTGTGGGTTTTTTAAATTTTAAACCATGCCAACAGTTTTCACTTCCCAAGGGCTTATATGACAGCAAGGCATGGGTAAGTGGGCGTAGCCCATCTTGCTTGTGAGCTCCTTGCACTAGGTTCATGTTCTTGTGCTGTCTGTAGGCCAGGAAGTGGAAAAACCAGTTCCCTTGGACTGGAAGTTGTCTGCTGCAAAGTTTAACTATGCACCTTAAATGTAGAGCTAAACGCAGGTGCAGAGGGGCTGCAGATGCAGAACAAGAGAACACAAATCAAAGGATGCACTCGGCCTGTTTGGTGCAGAACTAGAAGTACAAAATACAGGGAAATAATTTAAAAGTCGTGAATGGCATCTTCCCCCTTCCTGTGACGCAGGAAAGCAGCTCCGAGAGCACGTCCTGGGGTTGGCAGCAGGTGTGCGGTGGCTGGCAGCTCCATTAGCACAGAAGATGTTACACACAACAGTGGTGCTAATGCAGACACAGAGACCTGGTGTGAGCCACAGCCTTGCACGAGCCACCGAAAGGATTTCACAGCCAGCAGCGCGGTAGCCCAGGGTGTCACAGGAGAGCAGCCAGGCATCTAACACGGAGTCGGCTGCTGCTCTCGGCAAGGACTTCCAGAGCTTGGGCGTTGCCAGACTTCTCCCACGTGGAGTCACGGGGTCTTGGCTCTTACGCGTCGACAGAAAGAGAAGGAAGGGAAAAGGGAGCAGGGCCGAACGACACCTGCGCCGGTGTGACGTGCGGCACTGACAGAGGGTGAGCAGTTCAGGCTTGTCGGGGGCAGCGTGCAGCCTCACGCGCCTGGGGGCTGCTCAGGTCACGTCGTACGGAGACTGCCTGCCCAGAAAGGTGCAGGAGAAGTGGCGCAGCGACACTGGCCCCGTGAGATGTCCAATTCTGCAGTTGGGCGTTGCTGCGAGAACGCGTAGTGGGGCGAGAGACTGCAGGCAGCGTGGTGGGCCAGCGAGCGAGGCCGGGCTGGCTGAATTAGGGCTTGGGGAGGCGGCCTTTGAGCCCCAGCTCTGTCACAATGAAATCAGGGGAGCCCTTTAACTCCTGCTATGCCCCCAACTCGGCTTGAGAAAGGTGAGGATGTATTTCTGCCTTGAAAAGGACAAAATCTGTAAATCATTGCAAAAGGACTGGGAACACATAGCAATGAGGAACATCAGAAGTACTGAAACAGACTGAATAGGAAAGAATAATTTGAATAGCTTTCTAAAGGTGCAGAAAGAGTTTTACTGGCATTTTCAAATTGTATAGTTGCTCATTTACTCAATGTTTTTTATAAAACAGAGTTAAACTCAGATGAAATTTAGTAAAGGTTCATATTCTCTGTGCTACATACATATATTCATGTGTGTGTGCATATTTACAGGTCTGGGGTGAAACTGAAAGGGTCCGAATAATGATAGTAACCATTTTCCTACTGTTTCAATCTGACTGGCAGAAGTCAGTATC